TATATATATATAATATATACATACATATATTATATATTATATAGGGTAAAGCGGGGTAATAAGATCAGCGGGGCAATAAGAACTTTTTTAGCAGAGCTAAATTTAAATTCTTTTATGCTATTGTGTAAATATAAATTTACTAAGTTTTACATAATATATGTTTACTTAGTTCGTAAGAGAGTAGTTTAAAACATTTATTGGACTAACAACAAATTTTTTACTATTAATAATTTGGTTTTTAACGTCGATGTTTTTTACGGCAGTTTTTAATTTTGTTCGAAGTTTATGAAAAACTTTGCCGAAATCGGTGCTCCTCAGTTTTAGTTAAAAAGGCTATTCCAAGTTGTTTTTTTATTTTTTATTTTTCTTGAAAGTAAAATAGTATCTAAGTTTATTAAGTACTTTTTTAAAATTACACGCTCTTCTTAAGTAACTTTTAGACATAAAATAATAGTTAATTTAAAAAATAATAGAAAGTAGTACCCCAAAAGACAGGCAAAAGTTTTTTTTTTTTCAAAATTTCAGTTTTTACAATTTTCATTAATTTATTATATCTTCTCTTGAAATAATAAAAAAAATTAAAAAAAAAAATAATTCAAACGCCTAAATTATCATTAATAGATTTGGTACTGGAAAATAAAGTGCCCTAGCAACGGCCCTTAGAGATATATTTCTTGCAATATCTTGAGAAATATATGTCCAATTTATGTAGTTTTTGTGTGTGCTTATGACTAAATTGTTCCTTAAGAACTCTTGTTGGTTTTCGATCTAATATCCATAAATTAAAACCTCATATTCGTTTCTGTAAGATATAGATAATTACTCTATAACAAATGTTTTTTCATTGATGGGTTGTTTTTGATAAGTTTCCTTATAAATGCGTTCAAAAAAATAGATATGCTGAAGCAAGAGTAAAAAAAAGAAAACTTCATAAATTAAAAAAATATTCTCTAAATAATTCACATGCTTTACAACAAACTGTTTTGTCTGCACATTCACCAAACAATGTAAGTTAATCGGTATCTGGAAAAAAAAACTTATCTAGATGTAGAAAACTTTATAATATAGAAAAAGAGTGTAATACAATTATAAACTTATATTTATTTTCAAATTTGTTGAAGGCAATTGAAAGATGCTCTAGAATGTTATTCTTCAATTAATATTGTAAACAATATTAATCAAAAAGAGATTCTTTCTCACACTTCTTGTCAAGATTTTACATGGACGATAAATTTTTTAACTTCAAAATGAATAGAAAATAAAAATGAAGTAACCAAAGGTAAAAAATGAGAGAAATTAACCTATGTACTGTGTTAACTTTTCGAGATATTGGGCAAGGATACATAGCAATTATTACTTTTTGTTATTTAATGAATATGTCTTTTGGTATGACAAAACGTGGTTATCATAACATTAATAATAGACTTCCAGTTGCTTATTTTGAAGCCTCTAGAGTGAGTACAAACAGAACATACGTAATGAAAACTTTTGAAATTGAAAATTATGATGAATCATCAACTGTCAATGTTGCTGTTAGTTTAGATGGTTCATCATGGTTCCATAGATGGTTCAGCACAGAAGAAACTTCTCAATAAATAGTATAGTCACAGCAATATCTCATGGAAATTGTATTGATGCTGTTGCTAAAACAAAAGGTTGTTTTTCAAAATAAAAAGATAGGTATTCCAGCTTACGAGAACTGGAAGATCACACATTAATCATAAGGTAGCTCAGGAAGTATGGAATTTTTAGGCGCTCTACAATTATTCAACCGATCTGTCAAAGAGCTTAAAATCGAGTACATGAAGTACATTGCTGATGGAGATACCAATTCTTATATGCAAGTTTATGATGCAAATCCATACAAATAAGAAATCATTTATAAATAGTTCTTGGCAGTGATGTGTTGCTCAAGAAAGGTTTACATGGTTAAACTCAAAATGTTAATGAATTGCTAGATGAGAAGGTTTGGACTTGCGCACTCAAAAGAGTTCATGTGGAAAGAACAGTTAATGAGATTGCTTTGGCCTATACAATAGTTAGCTTCATTAATGGAGTTCAGGGTTTACTACCAGCATTTAAATAATGTAATGTTTTGCCTGGATATTTTACTACTAAAAGTTCTCTAAATGTAGATTATGTACGCATTAAACAGAATGAGATAAAAGGTACAGGTACCACAAAAAACAGGAGGAAAAAGTTAGGGGCCATTAAAAAAGGCTTTATTGACTAACATAATGAAGCAGAAGATGTTGCATACAACAGTGGTGGTTTTTAGTAGGTTTGATTGTGTAAAAAAACTTAATGTGTTTTTAGTATTTTTTTAAATTGCATTTTTCTTGCGTTTAACTTTTTGTGTATCTTTTAATTTTTTAACAAAGATAACTTTTTAACCGCTCATTGAATTTTTTTCAAATTTTCAGCAATTATTCTTGAATGTATTTGTAATGTGCTGAACCAAAGAAAATTATTTTTTTTTATATTAAAGTATTAAAATTTG